TTATCGTCCAGCGGTGTAAGCTTTTAAGCCAAAGTTTTGAGAAAAGAAAAGACATCTTTCCTTAAATTCTGAAACAAAAAATACGCTTCAAAATGAAACGTTGGGGGGGGGGGGGGAATCGTTTTGGTAAGGGGAGATAACTCAATCTATAAAGTCGATGTAGTAAAAGGTTATCAACTGAAATATTGGTAACGAGTTCAACGGTCGAAAAGAAAATTTAATCGACCGAAATAATGAGGCGAATAATTTCGGCTTTCAAAAGTTAATTTAATTTAATTTCTCATTTCTCTAAAATTAATTAGGGAAAAAAAACTAAATGCAGGATTACTTCGTTTTATTACACTTCACTTTACGGAATCATATTACGTTTCGTTTGGAATCTGAAGATATTACTAATCGCTTCAATCTCACGTTAAAACTTTATCAAACGAGACGTTCGCTTCCTGTGGGTAATTAAAGAAAGTCTTCTTTTGGGATGGAATCCACTGGAGAAGCTACTATAAACATTGTTGAAATGACAAAGGAATCGGAATATAACAAAGACTTAGTTGATAAATCAGTATCAGTCTTTGAGAAGATTGACTGATTTCGAAACGAAATTTATTGTGGGTAAAATGATATCGAACAGCAACACATACCCCTAGAGAAATCTTCAGTGAAAGAAAGAATCAATCGATACGGCAAACTTCATTGTTGTCTTATTTAAAGAAATATCCTGTCAACCGAACCTTCAGCAACCACACCCATTCAATCAGTCAGCAGAGCATCCGGACAGTTTTTATATAATTTATCATGTGAAAAGAAAAAAAAATTAGATCGCATGAGAAATTGTATAAAAAAAAGTAAATAAAAGCACCTTGTCTGTCGTATTCAATGAAATGTGCATGAAAGAAGGATTGCTGCCTAACTAAACACACACACACACACACACACATATATATATATATATATATATATATATATATATATATATATATATGTATTGGACTCTCCCGTCGTATTTCGACGTATGAGGGTCAAGCAGCTTAGTTCCTAGGTGCTGATAGTCCAGACACCAGCACATGAGATTTGATTATCGAGGTGAAAGCTTCGTGCAGAACCAACCCCACTTTTTGAAGGGCCGAATACAGAGACCTGGTGCACTACGTGCCACAAGGTCCCCCAAGCAACCCTCCGCAAGTTTTATAAATATAGTAACTGCTAGCTACCTGGTTTCATTGTTCGATCCTCATTAGGTACCCCATGTTAATGGCTTCGTTTCTAAAATAAGGTACTTCTATGGAATGACAGGAAGAACTCAGATAGAGCTAAGTCTGATTTGTCGCACCCTTCTCGCCTTTGTATAAGTCTTAGCTGACAAAAATTAAATTAGTTTTTTTCTAGTTTTATATGCCACACGACAAATGTTCAGCTATAGCTTCTCTTCTGAGTGAAGCTTGGAACTTTTTGAACAACCCTCGTATTATAGTCCCTTCTGCAAAGGGTCTAGAGCATTTTAATGAAATTTTACACTCTGTCACAAGTTAAGTGAAAACCATATTCTTATTTAAGTGTATCCATTCTGTCTTTCATATGGTCTTAATGTTGCCCTTTAACATACGTTTTGAAGTTTCTTTGTCTTCTGTGTTTTAGAGAAAAATGGTAAAATAATGCAGTGAAGTTATGTGTTTACACAAGTGGCTTATCTTTTTTGGCATGGAACTTAAGCAATTTCCTTATCTGAATTGTGTTTACGGTAACAGAAAATACAAAATAATTGTTTTTGCAATTGATAATCTTTACAGGTGTGTAAAGATTGAAGTTATCGACAGACGGACATAGAAGGCTATTGACAATTTCCTTGGAAAAAACCCGTCACTTAGGCCGATTAACCACTACATGTTGCAGTGTTCAACACCCCCAGAGTTACAGTTTTTGTAAGAGATCGCAAAATCTGACGTTATCAAAAATTGGAACAAGGGTAATAGGTTCAAACTCTCGATGACCTGTGACTTCGTGTAGCAGACCCGTTGATAGCTTTCAGACATTTACATCAACCCAATTTCATTGACCAGGTCCGGTTCAAATACGGGGTATGACCTTCAGGCACTTTTTAAATGTGCCGCACTATGAGATAGCTACCAAAGGCCGACAAGATCAAAAAGTCATTTCCTCGAGAAATCTACCAGGGTAAAATTCGAATCTGAGTCCTATCATTGTCAGAAAGCAAACGTTGTAATCCCTCGACAAAGCGTAAAGAATAATTACGTACATACAAAGGTCGTTCAAAAAGTTCTAAGCCTCACTCAGAAGGAGTAGGAGAAACAAGACAGGTTTTCGTTATTTTTCAATATAGTCAACCTTGACATCAATGCACTTCGGTCAACGATCCCATCACGGTAGGAGGCGTGCTGGTCCTTCAAAAAATTCTCCACAGCACATATGATCTTTGTTTCCAAAATGGAAACCACGCAAGCGGGATTTGAGTTTAGGAAACAGAAAGAAAACCAGATGGAGCTAAGTCTGGTGAGTAAGGGGGATGAGGCAGCAATTCAAAGCCACTGTTGGCTTATTCAGCTTCTGCAACTTTAGCAGTGTGAATGGCCGCGTTATCCTGGAGCTACAGCATACCTGCCCTCATCTTCCTTCCGCGTTTCGACTCGACTGATTCCTTCAGTTGTCTTAATTCTGATGCGTAGTACTGTCCATTAATAGTTTATTTTTTCCTTTTCTATGTAGTCTATCATGATTGCGCCATTATAATCGAAAAAAATAAGCTATCACCTTGGCAAGAGACGCTGCCTACTTGAGAACCAGCGTATTTCCAGTGTTTGCTTTGAATCTTTGATTCAGGTTCGTAGTAGTGAACCCTGGTTTCATCTTGACTTACTGCGGTGGAAATTCTCAGGAGTCCTGGAAATGTCAACCCTTTTTAGCTTCTGCTCTGGTGTCAGCATTCGTGGGACCCATCTAGAAGATAGCTTGCTGATACTCGCGATCTCATTTAAAACAATATGTAACAAACCGGAACTAATGTCTATGGATTTAGCTTATCTGATTGACATTAAGACGTCTGTCATCCAAAACAATACGGTGAATGGTATGAAACTATTCATTAGTGATTGAGGCTTTTTTCACGACCTGACCGAGGGTCATCCCCTGTGCTGTCCATACCCCGCTTGAATTGCGCAACCCACTTCTTCACGGCTGCCTAGGAAGTGGAATCCTAATCAAGTGTCGGTACCATGTCCTCATGGATTTCCTTCAGTAGAATACCTTTATTTTTCAGAAACTTTATGACTGCTCGAGCCTCTGTTTTGTCTATTTTTAGATTTGTCACACATCTCTCTCCTTTGTATTGGTCTAAACTGACAGTAATCTGAATTAGTTTTTCTAGTTTTATACGAAGTGGTAGTAGGTTGGCAAACAAAAATGTTCAGCTGTCGCTTTTCTTTCTGGGTGAAACTAGAAACTTTTTGAACGACCTTCGTATTATAGTATAATATAAGTATAAAGGTAAAATAATACAGTGGCATGTTCTTTTGGCATGGAACGTAAGCAATTTCCTTATCTGAATTGCGTTTACGGTAACTGAAATTGCGAAATAATTGTTTTTGTAATTGCTAATCTTTACAGGTGTGCAAAGATTGACGTTATCAGCAGACACATATAGAGGGCTATTGACAATTTCCTTAGACAAACAATAAATTACTTCTTGGTTAGTGTCGATATAATGACAAGGGTCAGAGGGTACGACTTCTGTACAGAAATGATCCAATCAATTTACATGAACGGAAAACGTAGCAACACGAGAGTAATGATACCTAGGCACTTTGTCAAATGGTCCTCTGTGTAAATTAAACATATATCCTGCAGTCAATTTCTCATTTTTTATCTGCAAATTACTTCTTCCAGGTCGCCATCATCTACTCGTCACACACACACACACACACACACACACACACACACACACACACACATATATATATATATATATATATATATATATATATATATATATATGTAAGATATTTTTATCCTATACGGAACTGTCATAAAGCCTGACGTGCCTTAACCGATTGGGCCACAGAGGAGCGTTCGGTTACCAGGGTCAATTTTACTGTTTTTAAAAACAATTCTCCATGATTTTCTCTCATACATTCATATCTGCTCAATGCGTATCCAAATGTAAACAAATGGCATCATACATTATAAAAAAATGGGCAAAGTCCGACAATTATTTAAGACATTTTTTATGTTTATACGTTCTTGTTATAGATAATGTCTTAAATAATTGTCGGACTTTATCCATTTCATAATGTATGACGTCATTTCTTTACATTTGGATACACATTGAGCAGATAGGAATGTATTAGAGGAAATCATGGAGAATTGTGTTTAAAAACGGTAAAACCAAACGCTCCTCTGTGGCCCAATGGGTTAAGGCACGTCAGGCTATATGACGGTTCCGTATAGGATACAGGTTCGATTTCTGTCGGCGGACGCATATTTTCTATGAAATTTCTCGGACATTCAGGCCTGTAAATGTTGTTAATACTGTTTATTATAAACAGAGCTTTTACTTAAAATATTTGTATCTATAAAAAGAACATATAAACATAAAAAAATGTCTGAAATAATTGTCGGACTTTGTCCATTACATAATATATATATATATATATATATATATATATATATATATATATATATATATATATATATATATATATATATATTAAAATAATGAGAAAGAACAGTAAGATTTATAATCTGGTGTTCACATTAAAAAGTAATGAAATGTGACGGGGTGGGCTTGAGCGCCAATATTTACTCAAAGATGAAAAAGTGAAAAAAGTAAGATTGTGTGGCATCATTTGTCAAAGAGAGCAGGGCTTTCTTATTATGAAAATTTACATTTGAAATGTTGAATTGAATATTAACACACTCTTCCAAATCTGACAATCTTAGTAAAAATGTAATCATCACAGAAACAAATCAAATCTGTTCGATATATATGAGACAGACAGATAGATAGATAGATAGATAGATAGATAGATAGATAGATAGATAGATATGAATAGAATGAGATTGATTGATAGATATGAATAGAATAGGATAGATAGATAGATAGATAGATAGATAGATAGATATGAATAGAATGAGATAGATAGATAGATAGATAGATAGATAGATAGATATGAATAGAATGAGATAGATAGATATGAATAGAATGAGATTGATTGATATATATTAATAGAATAAGATAGATAGATAGATAGATAGATAGATAGATAGATAGATAGATAGATAGATTTGATAGTTGGGAAACAGCGGAAATGAGCGTGATTCGGCTCCGTGGAAGTGGCCCGTGCTAGCTATAAAGGTCTGAACTGCTGGGCTAAAGAACGAAGCTCCTCTGAATCTTTTGCCATGAGAACAGTTCAATAGCTTTCTGATACTGGATTTTCGATTTATTTTTACTTTTCCTTCTTCTGTCTATAGCATAGAGCGCCATGAAAAAAAAGTTTTGTTTAGATCCAAATATGGGGAGAATTCTTTTCAACCATATGTGCATTCATTTTCCGGTTCGATATTTTCTGCGAATTCCCTTATCACTTTTCTAAGAACGTTACTATTTTTTAATATATTTTTTTTACAAAGCGTGGAACCACACCCTTTGCGATGACTTCCTTTCGTACTTAAGCGCATATAAGGAATCATGAAAAACTCAGTAGACTTTAAATATTTTAGAGTTTTTGTCCTCATTCAGGCAACATATTTTTCAGATCTGTTATCTTCTTTTATGGTATATCCCAGTAGGTTGCATTCAAAATAGAAAAACATTTTTAATCATTTCACTCTAAACAACGCAATAAAGCCACTGAGAAACAAGGGGCAACTGAATGTTAGAGAATATAAAAAATAAAACAACAGAACAATAGAACAACAAAAGAAAAACAGATATAACGATTGATACAGCATTTAAATTTTTAAAGATCAAAATTTGACTGGAAAACACTAAGCCAGAAGATAGTTCTACAAGTGATTAGTGCGACAGAAGAAACTGTTAGCATAGAACTTACGGTAACATCTATCCATTTCAAGTATAAAATAATGAGACCTAACTGCCAATCTAGTACTTAAAATTTTAAATTGATGAAGTGTAGGTACGAAAGAGGAAAACTCCTTAGAACAATTATCATAAAAATATTTAAGAAAAAAGAACAGGTAAGCTTTCTTGCGTTGATGGGAAAAGCAACTGAAGCCTGGATACCAGATCAAGACCAATAACATTGCAAATTCTTCTTTGGATTTTTTCTGGAGATATAGCAGGAGCATTAAGCCAGAAATGGCTGCAATGGATGAATGGTAGACATATAAATGTGTAAGATAGCTAAAAGCTACCAAAAGAGAAATCGACTAAGCCTCGAAACAAAGCCTGATTCGAGGGTCATCATCTGATGAGATATTTGTTCGTGACGGTACCAGACATATTGAAGGAGAGCGGGAAACAACGAATAACATAGCTAACAAGCTCGTGCAAAGGAATAGCAGAACAGAGGTTTCGCGTGAGTGCAAGGTGTTGTGAGAGAAAAATTGTACAATAGATTGGGGGGGGGATTCTTTACAGAACTATTTCATATTGAGAGAGTGAAACCTTCCATATACAAAAATATGGAAGGAGCGGAAATATTAAAATCTGAAGTCAAGATGAACAAGAACAAAACAACAGGAACAGATGGGATCGTGCCATAGAATTGCCCTCAACCTAAGATAATTTAGGCAACGGCAAGTTCACAAAAATATAAATTAAATTTACAGCAGTGGACGGCTTTCATAGATCCATCTTCATAGTGTTACATGAGAAACCAGGTACAAATAAATACAAGATCCACGGATTATCAGCCTAATGAGCCATATAAACAAGCTAATAATCCGAATTCTGAGAAATGGAGCATTAGACAGGAGATAAGGTAAGAATAATGCAGTTTTTTCAAGGAAACTGGGACAAGAAATGCTATATATTCATAATTAGAAAGATATCTGAGAAAGCAATATATATGCAGAATGACGTACACATATTTTATAGATAATGCAAAAGCGTCCATATCTCATTGGACACTTAGCAAAACTAGATCTATACCAAAAGAACTTGTAACGGAAGCAAACCGCCTCGATATGGATTGACAACAAAATGAGAAGTTAAACAAAAATAGAAAGTAGCGTAAAACAAGGATGCATCTTATTACCGGGTTTGATAAACCTCTACAGCAGTAATTGCCAAATATTTTTCTCTTAATGAAAATTTGCTCGTGTCTTAACAAAGGTAAGTCCAAGTGAAAAAGGTGCCAGCAAAGAACGCCCAGAGAGAGGGTTAAAGTGAGATAACCTCGAATTCAAAATTAGAACATTATCATTGATAACTCTCACCTCCAATTTGCAGACCCTAGTTACTATATTCTTAATACTTGATATAATGTAAAAAGATCAAAATGATAAAATCGGTCAAAAATTATTTAAAACTGTTTATTCTGGGACTCATGCATACAATTACAAGTAATCCATAATAATATTTAAAATTTTGAAATCATATTTATTTTTTAAAACTGTTTCTAAATTTTTGGTTATCTTCCAATCATTCCGCCTCACTTGCTATCCGCTTCCGCCTCACCTATGAGGCGCGCCGCATCGTTTAGGGACCACTGCTCTACAGTGAGGCTACGTGAAAGGATCTGGAGACCCTACCAGGATTACTAGGTTACCATGTGGGAGCAAACTTAACGCAGATGACATGTTATTGATAGAAGACACAGAAGACAAACTATATGTAAGCAAAGAAAAGCGGGAAGAAAGGATTGACGTCAAGAAGTGAGAATGTGAGGTTATCAGCAAAAGGGGAAAGCCCAAGTTGAGAACTACGAAGTGGAGATGCCAAAATCCAACAGATAAAAAAAGTTTAAATACGTCGGAATTGTTTTAACAGAAAACAGAACAGGTGACACAGAAATCTGATTGGGTGTTGGGATAGCAAAATATGCCTTCCAAAAGCTAGGTAAAGTACGGAGAAACAGGAAAATTTCATTAGAAACAGTTAAAAGCGTGCTTAATTGCTATGTAATATCAATCCTTCTATAAAGCAGTGAATGCTGAACAAAGGCAACAAAAATGTGATTCTAGAGAAGCATACTGAGATTGAATGAACGAAAAACGTAAGCAACTAAGAAGTCTTAACATGGAAACAAAAATGACGCATATACTCAGAATTAGAAAGAAAGCGCTGACCTTTCTTGGGCATATAATGAGGAAGGAAAGCTTGGAGAATTTAACACTCACAAGGCATATCGATGGTAAAAAGAACAAATGAAGGCAACAGGTCACTCAGATGACGAGATTGTGTGAATTGATAGTGGAACAGACAATGGCGAAAATACATCGTTAAGAGTTGTAGAATAGGATGTTGTAGAGAGCCATGATCGTCTACATCTTCAAATGACGCAGCACATAGAAGAGGAAAATGTCATATTTTCAAAAAGAATTATAAAGAATAAATTTGATATAATTTTTTTATATTTTCTATTACTATTTTATTCATCTTTTAATAACGTTTTCTTTCAGTTGATTTAATTTTTTTTGTAGGGCAAATTACAAAATGTATTTTTTTTTCTTTTAAAGCAGTTTTTGTAAATAGTTTTTGAACTATTGTTGCGTATTTAATTCTTTTATCCAAACGGTTCTGGTTATTTCATTAAAAACAAAGGATTTTTAGAGTTTAAATATTTTTTCGATGTAAAATAAATTTTCTAAAGCGAATTTATGTAACTGGAAAATGATTTGAATGGACATTTTTTAAAAACGATATTCAGTATTGAAAATTTATATCGTTGAATGGGTATTTATGGTGTTCCATTGAAATGCCCATGGAAGCATAAATAAATAAAATAAAAGCATCTTCCATATTGTCTACGTGGTAAAACGACACTTATTAAGTAAACGAACAAAACTATTTAATATCAATGCTTTCCTGTAAAGATAGTAAAATTCTTCAAAAGCGACTCCATACCACGAAGCCCACATAGAATACTCGGAACATCTTCCAATATATTGAAAATATATGGTAAGTATTCTTAAGATCCACCGCAGAATCACTCAGAGGAATGAAGAAATTAACATTCGAATTTTTTTTTTTAAATTATTAGAAGGAGCTTCCCCAAAAGAAAATTTTGTCGAAAATATAAGTGAGCCATTTACGACGAACAATAGACCTTGCGAACAAAAAAATCAAACGAATCTAAAGACTCCGACACAAATTACACACCATGTATTCAAACAATAGATGGAAAGAAATAGATGACAATGACTCACATAATGATCAATATCTAATTATTTATTTTCATTTGGTGCTGATCTTATCGTTAGTTAAATGAGTTACTTCGCTAATTTCATAGTATCAAGTATCGTATTTGTTGCACTTACATGCAGTTACAAAAGTATATATTTACGCAGTGATTTATCATCAAAATATTAATGCGTATACATTTAGATGAATATATATTCAAATAAAAACTTATACAAATACTTCTACTGTAAAGCAATAACTTGAAATAAATCCGTTATCTCAGTCACTAAATACAGGAACTTTAGAAATTCCGTGTACAATTTGAAATAGAATTTTGGATCTTGATAATCATCATATAAAAAGCTTCACGTGTCAATTTTTTTTATGTTATTCGAAAAAATGATTAATATTCTTTTTGCCTATTGTTCTTCAGTCTTTTCTTGGAACTTCAAAATGGCTGTTTTTAAGTTTGCTTTTATCTTCAAAATTTTTGTTGACGCATAGCTTCAGAAGAAAAGAAAAAAAACGCCTTCTTTGGGTGACTGAGCTAAAAGCTATCGCTGCTGTCCTAAGAAGATTTAGAACTTATTACAATATTAATATATGTACTCCATTTACATAATATATGTGATTATTATATGATTAACTCCTCAGATTGTATTTCGCCCAATGTTTTACTATCCCACTGTTATTTGCGTCGGCAATCATTATAGGCCAGTGACGTGATATTTTTCAAGCTCATTGGCGGTGAAACAATTCGAGGTAAGGCGTGGATTCATGCCTTTCTTATTTCAAATATAATAATATGAAATTCGAACTGGATGTGCCAAGATATATGAATATAAATGCACATTATATATTATTATGGAATGCAAAAATGCCCTCGTCACAATCCACTACTCGAAATTCTGAGGAAACTTCTTCTTCTTCATCATCATCTACTACTTCTTCTTCTGCTGCTACTCCTTCTTCTTCTTCTTCTTCTTCTTCTTCTTCTTCTTCTTCTTCTGCTGTTGCTGCTGCTTTTGCTGCTGCTGCATCTGTGGTGTTTTCCTTCAGGATGGGGCAACCATGGGTCTCTACAAGCCCCTATCCATTCCCCCCCTTCTGCCATCCATTCACACAAATTCGCCAGGTAGCAGGCTATCTGCCTTCCACTGTCCTTTTTTTTCTTCAATACGTTTTATGAGTGTTAATTTCTCCAAGCCCTCCGTCCTCATTGTATGTTCAATAAATTTCAGTTGTCTCTTTCTGATTCTGGTTACAAGAGCCCTTTTTGTTTTCATTTTTCCTAAGACTTCATCATTGCTTTTTATAAAATACTTTATATATATATATATATATATATATAGGAATGAGGTACTATGATTACTTATATTATTTACATTATTCGGACTGTTATCCTCATCTTCATTGCCACATTCACAACGTTTCTGCCGTTGTATGCTCCAGCCTTCTTCAGGTGATTGGAATTTCGAACCGAACCCCTTATTTCCTCCACCGGGGTAGACTATTCTAGTTCCACGTGCCGTACCTCTTCCGAGTGTCTCTGTTGTTTCCATTTAACTCAACTCTCCAAGTTTTGGTGAACCAAAACTAGAACAATCTGCCCCGGCCGATGGCAATGACGATGAGGATAACCATCTGAATAATGTCTTATCTCGCCTGCCATCAATATACTCCGTGGGGTTAAGTTTTCCAAACCCTCTTTCTCATTATGTGTCTCTTTTCTCGCTTTATGTGTTCTTTTTGTTATCATCTTCTTTAATACTTTCTTGTTTACTTCCTCCGTATCTTTTGCAGAACCATATTTCTGCTGCCTATGGTTTTATTCAACTATAGGAAAATTGTCCAACATTCCTTGCCATATAAGTGGATAGATTCAAGTTTCTTTCTCTTTTTCCGTCTTTTCTTCCAGCATGCTGTAGTGACAACACCAACACAAGAGCTGTTCCCGGAGTTGGGGTGATATATTTCTCACTGGGTCATGTTTCATTGGAAAAAGACGAATAAAGTAAATAATAACGGAATTATTCATTTTGTTTCAATTAATTTGCACAAGGGTGTAGGTGATCATGGCCCTCCACATCTTCCTCTATAATTAATTTGCACAAGGGTGTATATTGTTAAAATTACGCAGACCGATAAAAGAAATACTGCTATGGTCGACAGTGCACTTATGATAGCGTCGCGATAGAGGTTAAATAAATCTATGTAGAAGGCACATCGATTTTTCATGTTGTTCTATCATTTTTAAAATCGCTTTTAAAATCTTTTTTTTTTAAAATAAACTTTTAAAAACGTTCAAAATCACGGTCACCTCTGTTCCTTTAGCATAACATTTCGTGATGTGAAATTCGTTAATCAGGTACCTATATTGATGGTATCCGTCCTCCTCTATGGCAGCAAGTGTTGGATAATCACCTGGAAGATTGGGAAGACACTTGAAGCAACATAAATGGAATTCTACAGAAAGGTGCTGAGCAACAACAAAATTTTGGAGAGAGAATGGAAACAAAAAGGAAATTTATACTTAACAAAGAAGTTGTGAAGAGCCATGATCATCAATGTTTTAAAGACACACGACTCATTGAAGAATAAGCAGCTTGGACACAACACGTCTCTACCATTGTTCAATCGTTATCCTAATGCCAGACTATGTTATTGTGAATAAATAACCAAATAACACACACTTAACAGAGACACATCCCTTTTCCAGGAACCAATAAAACTGTCAAAATGACCAAGGGAATTCAGAGCAGCATGAATCCATCCAGCTCTTATATTAAATAACAACTTAAAAGAGACTGTTTGACCAACACAAGGACTGACCAAAATTCATGTTAAAAGAATTAAAAAAACAATTGAAAACTAGACAAATGTTCATTTTCTCCATCAAGACATTCATTTCTGTAGCGCACTGCTACTAACAAGCAGAAAATTCTTTTTCTCCTGATGATGGCCATGTTGGTCGAAACTACTCGAGGAATCTAACGAAAGAACATAAATATACAACGCAGTGTCTGAAGATTTTATTTTTTTTTAATATGTTTATTGTTCAACATATACATGAACATTTATTGTGTATTAAAGGAAGGAAATATGCCTATGTTTATTTTACAATAGAAGTTCATTCCCGTCTTCTCGGAATAAACATACGAAACAACAAACTAATAAGTCCAGATTACAATGAAATCAATAGCACAGAGTCTCATCCAGCATTTCTGAACATTTAAATCTTCTCAATTATCAAGAGACAACTGCATTGGTTCCATTGTTCTCCGTCTTGTTCAACGCGCTACAACATTACCTGCATTGTTTCCTGTACATTAAAAAAAAACAGTCGAGAGACTGGAGCGTTTTCTTCTGGTAGTAGAAACAATGGACGGAGCTTTTAAGTAAATAGCAAAGATGCAGATGGAAATGAACGGTGAAACGAATGGCGAAGATATTTACATAAGTAAAAAAAAATTACGGGACAGAGTTTTGGTTGAAAAAACGCAATCAGATTCTTTTACAATGACATTTCATGCGTGTTATCTCTTCTTATGGAATAGAACATAACTCTACTTGTCCATCCCTTAGTTCTTTACTTAGCACGTACATACGTTACACTCTGTCCATAAATAATGAACAATTCCGTTTTGATTGCATGGAAAGACGAAAAAGTATATCAGATACGCTACTAGGATTCAGTGAAAGAAAGAAAGAAAGAAAGAAAGAAAGAAAGAAAGAAAGAAAGAAAGAAAGAAAGAAAGAAAAGTTTAACATCTCCTGACAATACCTTATACCTTATAAATAATGTACTATTCCGTTTCAATCGCGTGGGAAGATGGGACAGACCTATCAGAAACGCTACTGGATTTTAGTGAAAGAAAGAAAAAAAGAGAAAAGAAAGAAAGAAAAAAACAAAGAAAGAAAGAAAGAAAAAATGTCGGAAAAGACATATAAGAAACGCTAATTGATTTCATTGAGCTAATGAAAGATAGAAAAAAGGAAAGAAGTTTTTAATACCTTCTGTCAAAAAATTATAAAAATGGACTATTCTGTTTTGATGGCGTGGAAAGACAAAAAAGAGACGCTACTTTGTTTCAGTGACAAAGAAAAAAAAAAGAAAGAAGGAATGATAGAAGTCTTTAACGTCAAAATCTCATAAATAATGGACTATTCTGTTTTGATCGCGTGAAAAAGATGGAAAGAGGGGCGCTACTTGGTTTAAGTCAGAAAATAAAAGAAAGAATTGTCTAATGTCACCTGCCAAAAAAATGGGCTAATCCGTTTTGATGGCGTGGAAAGACAGAAAAGAGATATCGAAGTCGCAAGGTGATTTCAACAAGAAAGAAAAAAAAAAGAAATAAAAAAGGAAATATAAATATGTTTAACGTCTGTTTCAGGGAAATAGAAAAAGTTATCAATTTTAAATCTTTTCATTCGTACCCCTTACTTCTTTAAATTACGATCAGTATTTATATTTATGATTGTTATTGGAGAATTTCTTAAAGTTGATAGACTCAAATATTTAACGATGCGATAGGGGAATTTCTACGGATATTTTATTGTTATAGAACTTACCATGATTTTATTCAATCATTAACTAAAGAATTAGGATTAATCAGAACATTTAAATAAAAAAAAACTTTAATTTTCCCGGGTAATTCTAGTCATGTTATAATTCTGTTTGTTCTTTCGTTCCGCAGTTTGCACCTACGTTATGCACCATTAACTCATATAAATAATAGACGCTATTGAGGATTGCTAGCCTATAATAGGTCGCCTACTCTCTGCACACAAAACGAAAGAAATGATATATCAAAGATGATGTTTGGTTTCAGGAAAAGAAAGAAAGAATAGGCAAAAATACTGTCATATGTTTAGTGTTTGATTCAGTGAAACAGAAAAAAAACTTGTCAAATTTTATTTGTACCCACATACTTTAAATAATGAACTGTATTCATATATATGATTGCTATTGCAATATTTTCTTAAGCTTGTTAATCTAATATATATATATATAACGACGGAATAGGAGAATTTCTACAGGTAGTTTAGTATCATAAACCTTGCCTAGTTATTCAATCATTAACTTAGGAATTATGATTCATCAGAAAATTCAAACCCTTCACGGGTATTTCCAGTAAAATTTAATAGCTTGAATTATTTATATTATTCGGACTGTTATCCTCATCTTCGTTGCCATGTTGCACGGCTGGAACGTTGTCATTGGAATTTCGGTTATTGTAATATCGGATCGAACCCTTTATTTCGTTCACCAGGATAGATTGATCTAGTTCCACGTACCATGCCTCTTCCGGATGTCTCAGTTATTTCCCTTTAACTCACCACTTTTTTTTTTTTTTTTTTTAGTTCACCACTACTGTATCCCGGTTCATCACTACTGTAGCGTGGTATTGAACTCACATCGATCTAACCAACGTCATTATCCACTGGGCCATTTGACCTTGAGGACATCTGGGAATGAATTTATGGGACCTATAAACCTATTGTCTCAGTAATCTTTTTACCAGTGCTCATATTGCAATTATTTCTGTTATTATTATGGCATTTATTACCTGAGCTTATATTGTAATTATTTTTTGGTATACATTGCTTTTCTCTATCACTCCTTATTACTGGCAATGAAGAAGGGGATAACAGTTCGAATAACGTAAATAATGCAAGTAATCACAATACCTCATCTCAAAGATATAGAGGCCGAAACGTTGTGAATATGGCAATGAAGATGAGGATAACAGTTCGAATAATGTAAATAATGCAAGTAATCATAATACCTCATCTCAGAGATATAAATAGATATTAAAGTTAATTGGTTCAACACGTGGATATTCCACGTGGTTTGGCAACCAACATATCTTTACTTTCGCATAAAAATCAAAACTTAAATTCAAAATTCGCCATTATACATTGCGTGATAACAGACCGAATGTTTTTAATGAATATTAAATGTCAATTTACAAATATGAGGTTAATAAGCAAAATACATAGATATAAATAAGTTCGTATAGACTGAAAAAAAAGGAAAAAAACGAACAATTGGGAATATTGATAAATAAATCAATACTCTTAAATAAGCAACCAATTGCTTCGTAAATGAATGGATTTAACAATATACGGGTTGATATATATGTAGGTTGAGATATATATAGATATAGGTTGTTTGTTATACTTCAGTTGGTGTTTGTACTTGATAGGTTCATATAGATCGTAATTACTGTTAATCGATAGTAAGATATAGATTGTGGTTTTAATTAAGCCGATAAGTATACATACGTTGTTTATACTTGAGTCAATAGGTAGACACCTCTTAAGGTTTACACTTGAAGTAACAGGTTGGTATATTTATACTTAGTCGATTGTTAAATATTGGTCGTGTTTATAGTCCAGGTGGAAATAGATCGGGTTTGCACTTAAGGAAAATATAGGTCGTGTTTATAATTGAGTCACCACGTAGACATAGGTTGTATTTATGATTATTCGCTAGATAAACATAGGTCCTGTTTATATAAGCAGAAACAAGTTGGTTTTATACTTGAGTCGTTTGGTAAATATAGACTCTTTTTGTACCAGAGACAATAGGGAAACATAGGCCATGCTTATAATTGAATTGTCAAGTATCAAGAAGCCTATTTATATTTAGTCGATAGCTAAACATAGGGTACGTTTATACTTCAGTCTATAGGCAGAAACAAGTTGGTTTTATACTTGAGCCGTTTGGTAAATAGACTCTTTTTGTACCAGAGACAATAGGGAAACATAGGCCATGTTTATAATTGAATTGTCAAGTATCAAGGAGCCCATTTATATTTAGTCGATAGCTAAACATAGGGTACGTTTATACTTCAGTCTATAGGGAGAAACAAGTTGGTTTTATACTTGAGTCGTTTGGTAAATATAGACTCTTTTTGTACCAGAGACAATAGGGAAACATAGGCCATGTTTATAATTGAATTGTCAAGTATCAAGGAGCCCATTTATATTTAGTCGATAGCTAAACATAGGGTACGTTTATACTTCAGTCTATAGGAGAAACAAGTTGGTTTTATACTTGAGTCGTTTGGTAAATATAGACTCTTTTGTACCAGAGACAATAGGGAAACATAGGCCATGTTTATAATTGAATTGTCAAGTATCAAGGAGCCCATTTATATTTAGTCGATAGCTAAACATAGGGTACGTTTATACTTCAGTCTATAGGGAGAAACAAGTTGGTTTTATACTTGAGTCGTTTGGTAAATATAGACTCTTTTTGTACCAGAGACAATAGGGAAACATAGGCCATGCTTATAATTGAATTGTCAAGTATCAAGAAGCCTATTTATATTTAGTCGATAGCTAAACATAGGGTACGTTTATACTTCAGTCTATAGGCAGAAACAAGTTGGGTTTTATACTTGAGTTGTTTAGTAAATAGACTCTTTTTGTACTAGAGACAATGGGGAAACATAGGCCATGTTTATAATTGAATTGTCAAGTATCAAGAAGCCCATTTATATTTAGTCGATAGCTAAACATCGGGTACGTTTATACTTTAGTCTATAGGTAGAGATATATCGGGTTTATACTTAAAGTGTTACTTTTTATATTTGAATCAATAGGTATACATAGGTTATGTTTATACTTGAGTTGATAGGTAGACATAGATAATATTTATACTTAATCGTTTGGTAGATATTGGTCGTGTATATAATTTAGCCTATAGGCAGAAATAGGCTGTGTTTATACTTGAGTCAATAGGTAAAAATACGTTGATTTTATACTTGGGTGAATAGGTAGACATATGTCGTGTTTATACTTGAATCATATGCCATGTTAAGTATAAAGAAAATAAGTGTAGATAAATATATTTAGTGTTCAGACTCTAGTCTATAAATGCACATAAATCGTGTTTATACGAGTTCACAAGATCCATACGATATGTATCGTCTTTAATATATTTTTGCTCTTTGGAGGATTTGTAGACAACAAATAGTACCCCTCCACGCCAAACTGGACCCAAAAATATAGAGAGGAAGAAAACATTAAACATACAATAGGAAAATTGATCTCATATCCATTTTGAAAATACCATTTCAAATTTTAAAAAATAATGTCAAAAGTCGAGACAAAAAAAAGAACTCGTTATTTTGAAGCCATGCCCAAAATAAAAAGACCACTGACCTCATGATGTTCAACACATAGACGGGTAAATAGCAGACGGCAAATATGATGACCATAGCGATTAACATTTTCGCCACCCTCCGTCTAGACAGCAGCTGCGTTTCTGGATGCGATGCTGACACGCCATTTCTCAGCATCCTAACCTCTGGAAAAAAAAAAGAAGAAAAATCGATTGATTATAACAATCTGTGGGCACGCGGTTACCCCCTAAACTTGCTGAAACTATCAGAAATTCATATTCGCGCGATCGATCCGACTACATGCTAACCCTGCATTAGTCACCTCGGATTTCGGAAAATGGATGGCCCCCTGACGTCTGCCTCCAACGACAACTGAGCTACAACTGCGCCACCCGCGTGCTACACGATAGTAGTGGAAGGGAGCAAAAGAAACAAGTTGACAACTAGCAATTACGAGAACTTTAAAAATTTTAGGGTTACAAAACAACACATGTGACTACCGCAAGGTTAAAAGGGACAAATACTCTACGCTAAATGTTGCAGAGTGAAAGAAAATTTTTCTTCCTCCGTATGAGTTTCGAATCGTCGTCGCCAAGTGTTGTAGAGTAGTTTCACAGTGGAGTCTTGTATTTCACT